TCAAACTAGCAGTTGCTCTGAATGATCACCTCGGTAGTAGCAGAAGAGGCCTTGGAAGGATACACGGTGGCAAAGGAATGCTAATGGAAGCGGGTTGATTAGGTTACAGTGCTTGACCTAGCTGTTTTCAGCAAGATCTCATCGAAACGTGGGAGGTGGAAGGTAGGCTACTATAGAGGAGTGAAGGAGAAAGAGGGAATCGATTATGTGTTCATAAGAGTATCGTCTCTCGAAATCGCGTAAGACGTCAAGGAGCTCCTAGAGGAAGAAATTGGCTCATCAACATACGTCACTCGCTCTGTGAAGCTTCCACCACCGAACTATACGCTCCATTCGGTGGTGAAAGCTTTACAGAGTGACGTTGACCTCCCAGACCCCAATGAACTAGCCCACGCAAGTGGGATCATGCAACTAGTAAGGTCGTGCTGAGGAAGAAAGACTTGATGGAACGAGTGGTAAACTAGAGGAGACAGTCAGCATGGCTCTGGAATGGAAGGTCCAGCGACTTATCGTGCAGAAAGGAAAGGCAAAGGAGGAGCTCTCTGCCTACCAAACTCGCGAAAGGGCTAGCCAAGTCAGCCGTCAAGGCAAAAAATGCCCTGTTCGGAAAAGCCGGAGAACCAAAACGCAAGATTTCCCTTCTGCCTAATGGTGAGCCCTGCTCAGGGCCGCACAGGGTGAAGAAATCTATTCACAGTCCTAAATATTTGAGTATTGAATCCAGCAACAGCCGACGAGACAGCGGACTGCTGCGACTGACGTCGTGACCTGGCCTATGCCACGATTGAATCGTCACGCACCCCTCCCCCCCCCCCCCCCACCTCCGCCGAAGCGCTGAACACATTGACGACAACGCGCCTTTTGATGCGATCTTTGAGACGCGCAAGCGCGTCTCATTGTCCAGGTGTGTTTTTCGGAACTCAACACTGAAAGTAGCGAAACAAGAGTGCAATGGGAGTTGGGAGGGAGTATCAGTAGGCAACAGCCTGTCGGCGCCCCCTAAGCGAGATAGTAATAACTAATAACTCTCTCAAAAGGCTCACTCAAGCTGTGCACAACGTCGCCGACTCTAGCCTCCCCTCAACTCTTGATGCCGAAACAAACAGGTTTAGCAGCTGCTGTGCGAGCATATCTGACCATTTCATGGACCACGGCGTTTGTAGAAGATTCATGTATGATAAAAGGATAAAGCATTTGCCGTTGATCAATCCCTTTTGGGATGCGGCACGCATTCTACTTCCATTTGTACATTCGTAGTGGCGTTTGAATGCGATGTGGCCTATACAATGACTTGCGGGGGCCAGCCGATGTTCAAGTCAGTGTTTTTTATCCTCCCAGACAAGTCTGGTACCAATTAACCGACCCCGGAGGGATGGAAGGCTTGGTTGGCCTGGGCGACTCACGAACCGACCCAGGATTTGATCCCCTGGCCGTCTGCGCGGTGGTAAGCGGCCATGCATCTGTACAAACTTCCGAGCCCACTTTATGATACTACAGGATAAAATCCATGCAGTTTTGGGAAGGGAGGCCGGCTGATGCGCTATCAGAGGATGATAGCGCAACGCGTCCACTTGTCACTGTCGTCGATGTGTTTAACCAATTTAGTTGATTCAAACATCGTGTCTTTATGGCTGCATTCTAATTCTTTGAAAGTATTTCTTATTGAACCACAGGTGCACTTTACTGAGAGTTGCATCTTGCAGAAAGGAGGGTTCGTAGCTAAGATTAGCGAAGGTGGATAGCTTTGTAAAAAGTAAGCAGTTTCAGCCTGCTTGGATCTAATGCACCAAACGTAATACCTGTTGGTGGTATGCTGGCCTACCTCCAGCAATTTCCCTTCATAATTTTAGGACATTTACAAATACCTGAACGCTTCCACCCCGGGGAAATGTCATCAGCATGGTATATGTCGGATCTGAGCAAGCAATCCTCATTGACAAAGAAACTGTTGCGAAAGGAGAACGAAAAGAAGGACGAAAGTGCAGGTTTGAGAAAAAGCTATTCCTACCGTCCACCGGTTGTTCTCAGTACCTGACAGCGACCCACGTTTGCTTCCCACACCAATATCAAAGAAAAATGTTCGTAGAATATCTTGAGGGATTATCATTAAAGGAATCTTGCGCGGAAAATCATGATTCTTCTTCATCAGCCCATAAATCACTGGCTTGAGACTCATTATCCACGATAATAGTGAAAAGAACTGAAGTATTGCTTTCGTTTTGATTAGAAATTCGAAAACTCGAAAAGGCTGCTACGCGTTCGAATTGCCCACGGACGTCTTTCACGAATGCTGGCGACGGGGATGCTCAAACTTGGTTCTTGGAGTGCATTCACTAGAAGCTCTTTCTGGCCTTCTGCTTCGTTGCATTCACATCTTACACTTCTACTCCATCCTATTCCATCGATCGATTTGTCTCCACTCTCCGAAATCGCGCGCTTTAACCCGATTCTCTCATTGCGTCGCCTGGTACGTAGCCGGCCAAACGCCGTCTTCTTTCCATGCCTCGCCTGGCTCTGCCTCCTGGTCCTTCGATGGTCCATAACGTGTAGTTTTTGTACGTTTGTTTCTCTTCAGAACCGAATCTTCATGCGTGAAACTTTGTGTGCTATTTCCAGTTCATACGATGACGTATCATTAGTAAGCTGCAAGACTTTCCGCCTCAAATCCTTCAAAGCACTCTCAGCAATCTACGCTCCTGGACGTCAAAACTTTATCTCTCATAATCCAATAGAGTTAGAGCCGTTAAATCCCAATTTTTGTTGACAGTTTTCTCCACGATGGCGTGTAAATGCAGTAGAGGCCAAAAAGCCGCTTGTCAATTTTTTTTGACCCCTCTGTATGAAAAGAGAAAGCGATAAGAGAAGCAAAAAGGCGTGTAGAGATACTCTGCAGTAGCCCTAGTGAGAACAATATTAGAAGTTCCTAAGGCAAACCCAATGCAACAATTGACTGTGGCGAGATTGGCGAGATCCTCTATATTTGTACCTCACACGTTCTCTCCGTGCTTTCGATTGAGTTCAAGCGGCAGGAGCGGTCGAGGCAATCGCAACACATAACTGGAGTTACCAGACGAGCCATCCACGAATTACACCCGAGCCTGAATAACCATACTGGATAGGTACCATAGTGACCTTCCCGACCCTTTCACGCTTAGTTCGAAGAGCCCCTGCCTATAATAGTCGGCGCCACAATACAATCGTTAACTTTACCCCTGATCAAAGTCTCGTGAGATTGCATCCGCAATGAGTACTACCGGAATTACAGTTCCATCTACTCGTTAGCCGCGGTGCTGCGGTGCATATTGCTAGCTACCCTCCGTGATTGAGCCTGAAACTCTTTGTCACCAAAACACTACCTCTGTCATTGAAAGCACACCCACGGCCCAGAGATCCTCTAACTTCGGCTCTGGAGTCTAGAAGATAAGTGCTCTTGAGCGCGATCAATCTCAGACGTGGACTTTCCGTCTCCACGCCAGGAACCATCTCCCACTTGCGTCACTGCTAACCACTGTCTCGTGCGATAGTTGTCCAGTAGAGCCCCCGGCCCCCCTTATGACCGAACAACCCTGTCTCTACATTCCTCTTATGTTCCAAGCTTGTCGCGAAGCAGTCTAAGCCTCGGCCAGAGTGTTGAATCCAGGGCGTCGAGTAGGTCGTTATGACGTCCGAGGATACGTACGTAAACCGCCTACCACTATACCCACCGGATCCATCAGCAGAATTGGCATGGCACGTGGTCACGGGCGCCGCGCAAGCGCCCCCTCGTGATAGTCGATCCCTCTTGGCACAAACGGCGGCGTCCCATAATCCTTCGGCATAAAATGGTAACGAACATTGCTCGAGCGAACTTCCACACATCGCAGGTTATAACACTCGGTGCTATTGTCAATAGAATCAAATCTCTGATTTCTATGCCTTCATGATTCCGTACTCGAAGCAGCTCGATGGCAGTTATTTTCTAACGATTCTCATTTTTCAAAGCGTTTTCAAGGAGAGCAGTCCAGTGGGTAACTACCCGCCTCCAATGAACATATTGGAAAGCAGATTCCAAGAAGAGTTGATTGAACATTGGTATAATGAAGGCGAAGCTTTCAATGATGCAGGGATGAAGCGAGGCAAAATTCTCTGCAAACAACAAACGAAACGGACTCCCAATCCCTCCACCCCTGCCAATTTTCGTATTGGGTGTTGTCGTCATCACCATAAACGCTCCACTCGCTCTTTCTGGAAAAGCGACTAGAGGTAGCGGCTGGAGTCTGACTGTGAGGGGATAGTCGTAGGGCATGGAGGGCTGCATGCGCCGTCGACTAGCAAAGGCGTACCGGCAGCGCTCGCGGCTCTGTGCGCCCACAGGCTGACTCTCTTCCTTGACCACGAACGTTTTGTGTATAGTTTCTTCGAAAGCGCATGTTACAAAGAAATCATCTCCCTTTGGAGCTAAAATTAGAGCTAGTAGGGTAAGCACTGGTCGAGAAAAATCCAAGAGAAAACGAATCAGGACAAGAAATGGGACCCTTTTTCGCCCGTTGATTTCCTCTCTGTAGAGATCAGCAACAGATGATCGTCTTTGTATATGTATCACAGCCGATATCATCTCAACAAACAATCCCTTGAATTCTAAGGCACTGTACACACGAACCAGAGGACAGACGCTGAGAGGAGAATTTCACAGTAAGATCGAGGGTCGAAGAAATGGAAATCGTTAATGAAACACAGGCGGACCCCCTGAGGATGCGGACCGACACGAAGTTCACAGCAAAGAATATACCTTGTGGCGATTCAATACGGCCGTGTCGCACTGCCATCGCCGCTGCCCGCCCACCACCAAACTGTCTGGCTCTAGCCGCCCAGCACAGAGAGAGAGAGCTAGCGCTGATGAGGTCTACACCGATGAAGCACGTCTAACGCGCAAATCGACGGGCAAAAGCGGGTTCGCGGCTGTTTTTGAAGTCTTTCTTCATACCTGATCACCTCTAGTACCACCTCTAGCTTGATTTTTAGAGGACTGCCTTCTCGTCGTGAACTCCGTCTTCAATAGTATCGGCAATTATCCAATCACCGCTCGAGCCCCGGCGCCGTGCCATAGGTGGCGTTTCCCAGGGTACGCTGGGCTTGGTGGGGATGGGGCGCTTTCCCCACGATGCAAGCCTCCTCTTGCTTCACTTGAAGACCAGCATCCATTTGTAGTAGACATCTCCCCACCTGATTTACCGCAAAATCTTCCTTAAATGAGCAGTACTACCCTTTCACTTAACTACTGGACTCGGAATTAGATGTAGCAGCTCGTTCTGTGCTACCCTTAGTCATGGCCCTGTACGTTTTCAGCTTGGCAATAGACAACTGAGTAACTATTGTTACCAGACTTAATAGGAACAATGTTGCGTGACTTTCAGTGTCGCTGACTACAAGGACCGTGAGGGGCCAAGACAAACTCAGTCGTGCTAAAGTGCGTTCTCTGCGAATCACTCTTCTCCTAATTCTCGTATACGTCATAACTTGGTTGCCCAACAATCTTCTCTCTTGGTGAGTTCAGGTTTAGTTTTTTATACAATCGTCCACTCAGAAAAATTCTTTGTGAAGATTGCTGAGCCTTCAGGTGGATGGTGATCTCGTTCGATTCATACCGCGATCATCAGGATACTACGTTTCCCCTGGCCTTCTTAGTTGTGTTGAATAGCGTGATTAATCCCTTCATCTACGGCAGGTTAGCGTTCAGTTGTCTAATGTTGCCTTCCCTTCTAATGGCTGTCATTTAGGTGTCAAGGGCTGAAAATGATGTTGTGTTGTCGCCGGATCGACTCTCGACCAAAGAAAGTGTGCAACATTCTACAGTGTTGATCTCTTCGCATAACTATGTAAATAATTCGATCTCAATGAAAACCATGATCATTCAAAACCGTGTTCCTAATTTGAACAATAATTTCCATCATTAAGCTTGGTCGGTTTCCCAAAAATACAATACATTACCGCGCTAAAATGACAGTCTCACTGGACTCCACCACGCTGAGGTTATAAGGTCCCCAGAAAAGAAATTTTCTGCGCTCTGCAGGACACTTCAAACATTTTACAGGTGAACCA